CACCTTCTCCTAGATATCTTCATTCCTGATCTTATCCATCCTAGTGTGCCCACACATCCACCTCAACATCCTCATTTCTATTACTTTCATCTTCTGAATATGTGAGTTCTTAACTAGCCAAAACTCTGTCCCATACAACATGGCTGGTCTAACCACCGCTCTATAAAACTTACCTTTGAGCATCAGTGGCACTTTCTTGTCACATAAGACTCCAGATGCTAACCTCCATTTCATCCACCCCACCCCTATACGGTATGCGACATCCTCGTCGATATCCCCATCCCCCTGGATAACCGACCCAAGGTACTTGAAACTGCCTTTTTTGGGGATGACCTGTGATCCAAGCCTCACATCCATGCCCGCTTCCCTCGATCCAACGCTGAACTTGCACTCCAGGTATTCTTTCTTCATCCTGCTTAACTTGAAACCCTTAGACTCAAGGTCTTGTCTCCAAACCTCCAGCCTCTCATTAACGCCACCTCGCGTCTCATCAATTAGAAGTATGTCATCAGCGAATAATATGCACCATGGTACCTCCCATTGAATATGACGTATCAGTGCATCCATCACTAGGGAAAATAAGAACTGGCTGAGCACAAATCCTTGGTGCAACCCTATAACAATCGAAAAATACTTAGAGTCGCCCTCCCCCCCCACAGTCCTAACCCGAGTCTTAGCTCCATCATACATGTCCTTAATCGCCATGATGTAAGCGACCAACACACCTTTAGCCTCCAGGCATCTCCAAAGGACCTCCCTAGGCACATTGTAATGCGTTTTTTTCATGTTAATAAACACTATGTGTAGATCCTTATTCCTATTCATGTACTATTCCACCAACCTCCTAATAAGGTGGATAACTTTCGTAGTTGAACGACCCGACATGAACCCGAACTGATTTTCGGATATAGACATTATCCTTCTCACCCACACTTCCACCATCCTCTTCCAAACTTTCATGATATGACTTAGTAACTTGATACCCCTATAGTTATTACAACTCTAGATATCACCTTTGTTCTTGTACAACGATACCACCATACTCCATCTGCACTCGTCCGACATTCTCTTCTTCCTGAAAATAACATTAAACAACCCATTCAGCCACTCCAAGCCTGCTCTACCCACAAATCTCCAAAATTCTACAGGAATTTTGTCTTGCCCGATTGCTCTGCCCCTACTCATCTTACGCATAGCCCCTACGACCTCCTCAACTTTAATGTATGTACAGTACCTAAAATCTCAATGACTCTCAAAATGACCCAATTCACCTAGTATGTCCCCTCATTCATTCAGATGTTTATGAAAGTAAGTCTACCATCTCCGCTTAATATATGCCTCTCCCATCAGTACTCTATCGTCATCGTTTTTGATGCACCTCATTTGGTCCAGATCCCGAGCCTTCCTTTCTCGCGCCTGGACACCCCGAATAACTTTTTATCCCCGCATTTGTCTCCCAATTCCCCCTATAGACGACCAAATGCTGTTGTCTTAGACTCTGTGGCTGCCAAGTTTGCCTCCTTCATAGCTACCTTATACCTCTATCTGTTCGCTCTCCTCTCTTCCTCGCCTCCTTGCCCGCGCTCCCTACTAACTTTAGGTACAAAGACTTTTTCGCTTCCACTTTACCTTGGACCATTTTATTCCACCATCAATCACCTTTGTGCCCACCAGAGTAACTCCTCGAGACCCCTAATACCTCTCTCGCTGAATCCCTTATACAGTCAACCGTTGTCGTTCACATGGCGCTCCCGTCACCACTACTCTTCCAGGCTCCCATAGCCGATAACCTTCCCTCTAACTCCTGAGCTTTATCCTTAGTCAAGGCTCCCACCTTACCTCTTCTTCCTCTTTATCATGATACCAACGTCCATCACCAAGAGCCTATGCTGCATCACGAGGATCTCCCATTGGATAACCTTACAATCCTTACACATCCCTCTATCACACCTCATGAGGAGGAGGTAGTCAATTTGAGTCTTCGCCACCGTACTTTGGAACATAACCAAATGCTCCCCCTCTTCGAAAAACTAGAGTTCGCAATCACCAACTCGAATGCTTTAGTGAAATCCAACAATGAAGTTCCTCCTCCGCTCCTATCCCCAAAGCCGAAGCCACCATGCACCTCGCCATAGCCACCAGTAGTTAACCTAATATAACCATTGAAATCCTCTCATATAAATAGCCTATCTACACGTGGAATACTACACACTATCTCATCCAACCCTTCCTAGAAACGCTTTTTAACCTCCTCATCCAAGCCCGCTTGTGGCGCATAAACACTAACGACATTCAGGGTGCACTCTCCAACCACTAATTTAATAGTCATTAATCTATCATTCACCCGCTTAACCTCTACCATAGACTCTCTAAGTTCCATATCCACCAAAATATCCACTCCATTCTTACCCTTCGTGACTCTAGAGTACCACAACTTATACCCGTCAGTATCCCTCGGCTTCGATCCTACCCACCTAGTCTCCTGGACACAAGCTTTATTGTCCTTCCTCTTCTGGAGAATCTTCGCCAACTCTATAGACTTACCCATCAAAATTCCTATATTNCCCACCCCCTCACTCCCTAAGGACATGACCTTACTCTACCATCCCAGACTACAACCACTATACCTACGATAGACTAAGAAAAATCGCTAACACACAAAAGGCAACAAACCAAACTAGAAGAAAACAAATTGTAACTACATGCACGCTAATAATATGATTAAACTAATACGAACTAAAATTGCAACAATTTAACTAAACACAAAGAAGAGAAATAGGGAGGCGAGAGGTACCAACTCCTGAGAATAGAACCTGGATAATCGACTTGGTGCATACTCGATGTCGCAGAAACTGACGTTCTTCCTTCTGAATCCCACCGGCCTTTGCAAACTCCAATCAGGGAAGCTCCACACTGCTTTATAGTACGCCTCACGCTCGTCTCCAACTGGATTGTAGTTGTGAACGTCGAGCCTTTGCTGCCACTTTTTGAACGACAGTCGCCAGAAAAAAGGTAGTCGAAAAGTTTGCCGAGGTGAATGTATCTCGCCGGAACCGACTGGGATGTTGTGTGGCATGGTACTTTTGAAGAGACGACCGCCACACAACGATATTCTGGCTGAAAATCTGCCTGTATAGTGTGACACTCGCCAGCGCGTTTATGGACCCGCTGGAAACCCTAGTTTCGGCGGGAGCTACGCGCATACACAAAAGAAAACAAAAATGGGGGAGGGAGAGAGGGGGGAGGGGAGAGGGGGATAAAAAGGGGATATAGTAGAGAAATGCGGAGATAAGGGACGAGGGCTGTCGTCGGCCGCCGTCGATGGGGGCAGTAGCGGGGAGGAAAAGGAAAAGAACAAGAAATAAAGTAGGGAAAGAAGAGAGATGGGAGGGCTGAGAGAGAGAAAGAAGGTGGGGAGAGAGGGCAAGACCTTACCTGGTGGTGGTGGCCGTCGCCGGTGCCGGAGTTTGGCTTGTCACCGACTATGGTAGGGAGCCGTTAGACCATCTCCAACCCAATGCTGTTTTTGACGCCACACACTATTTTGGTGTTTTGGTGCTCCAACCCAACACCATTTCTTATACCATTTTGGCGTATGAATAGTGTTACACCAAACTTGGTGTAACACTATTCATCAACGCCATTACTATTCATCAATATTTTATTATTATCTTTTATTATATAACACTTTTAATTTAACATATTATAAATTTTGTAATTACTTATATTTTTATGTAATATATTTATAATATTAATTTTATATTTAAATTTTGGTGTATAATTTTTATAAATTAATTTTTTGTATATTTTATTTTTACATAAAATTATAAGTTAATTTTATTATAAGTTATAATTATATAACAATATATAACCATCAAAAAAAGGAAAAGTGCAAATCTGAAATATAATATGTTACTTATTAGTAAATAACACAATGTTCATTAAATAAGATAAATAAATATTTAATACAGTAGCGACTGATATACATTAAAATTGAAAATACATTAAATAACATAGTGGGACAAAGATGCTCATTTTATACTTCGTAATGCATTAACAGAACATTTATGGGAGCAACATGTTAATCATGTAAGTTGAATATTTATGTAGAAATTAAACTAAATTTTACCATAATGTAATATTTATTAAATTATATCTTATCAATGATTTTATTTTTATTTGAATTATCCATTAATATGTATAATGTATAATATTTGCTTATAATTTATATTATTTTAAAAAAATATGGTATAACTTTTTATTTATTAAATGATTATATAAGAAAGAAATATGAATTATTTGGGATGAATATATAAAAAAGAAAAAAAAAAGGATTTGTTTTATGAAATAAAAAATAAATTTAAATTTTAAAAAATAATATAATATAGAAGAGAGAAAAGAATATAAAAAAAATATTCTTTTTTAGTGTAAAAAATAGTGTAATGGGTTGAAGTTAATTTGCACCATTTTCGTGTAAAAAAATGGTGCAAGGTTGGAGATGCAGATGCTCTTAAAGAAAGTAAGCGAGAGAGATTACAAAGAGAGAAAGTTAAGATAGGAGAAGTTATGCCGCCAAAATTGACATATCATTGGGGAGTCAAATTCATGTTGTTTTAATGTGATTTGAAACAGGCTTCTTAGTCTCACCACCTTAACCTTAATCACTAAACCCACACTCCACTTTTTGGTCACATTGATGATATTGACTTTGTTATTAGCAACTTACCCAATTGTTCAATCAATCAACTACATCTATATTATCAGTGATATGAATTCTCTGTTCTCATTCCACTCTATCAAGATCCAATTTGTTAAAGATAATTAAAGAATTTATGATAGTCAGACTATTTTATGCAGATCGTTAACCTACAACGATTCTTTTTATTTGAATTATGAATTAGAAAGCGATTATACTTTGCAAAACCACGCTGGCATAACTAAACATACTCAAAACAAAGACAGCTTTGCAAATTGAAAAGGACAAGTTGGATTAGAAAATGTAAAGTCTGGAATTGTAGACAAGCCTGATGACAATTGTATTGTGACATTTATAAGTTGATATTTTGATACAACATGACCCTATGAAAATGAGGTAAAATTCGAGAAGTGGAAGGGAAAACGTATTATACTATTATTCCTTCCACCTCAAAAGAATGGATGGTACATCAACCACAAGTGTTTGGAACCTACAGAATATTGGAACCAAAATAAATAAAGGTTCTACATATTCAATATCAATGTTTTCCTTTCTTGTATCTGATTTTGGAGGAGAAGAGGTGTTCAGTGTAAATGAATTGGCCTAAGATCAAATAGCCTTTAGTCCAGCCAGCCCCCGAAGCTTCTCACAGAGTACAAAAGTAATCATGGTTTGTGGAGCCAATCTTGCAAATATTGTAAGGCCTCTGAAAATTTTCCAAATTTAAGAAACAATTAAGTAATGAATTAACCAGTAACTTTGTAAAGTCACAGGAACTAAATTACTAACAGCAAAATCAGGCATGTTTCAACTTACCCTTTGTAAAGACCAGAAGGACCTTCAGTGCGAAGTACCTGGAATCACAAGGTTTCTTGAAACATAAGTTCAAGATCATCCGAGTTTTTTAAGAGTATAATCACAATTCACTAGCATTGCCAAAATTTTCCCAAATGTTTTTCCTAACCCCTACTGCTCTATATATCCTATCCTACGTCCGCACAACCCCTAGATATGGCTTTGCAGTAGCTCATTCCCGATGAGATATTTTACCGTTCAGTTCATCCCCTCTTTAATAAGTTTTTGTTAGGATTTTAACAAAAAGATGGATGAAAGTTGAATAAATTTTATCCCGAATGCAAAACTGAATGCCTAGTGAAGAAGACTTGACTATTAACAAGTACGCTCTATTAAAGTAAAAAAAAAATGAAATAGCTTGCTGAACACAATTGTAGATAAATAACCATAGAAAAGGGTGGAATGAGAGGTTGCGATGTAACAACCTGATATGCACAGTGCAATCCATTTCTATACATTCCGGCACAACTTGATTCTCTCTGCAACATAAGACGGGTTTTAACCATGTCCATTGGTGCTGTCATAAGCGTGCTTACGGTCCCTGCAATTGTACTTGAGCTTCATAATATGCAAAAGAAGTGTTAGCATATAATGGACTGAAAAATGAGGAAAAGTTGAAATATTTATTCTCTTAAAACATAAATTGAAGATGAAAACATTCTTGAAGCACCAGCTCAGATAGGTGGAATAGGAAATTAATCTCCGCATATTAAGCACCAGACCAAAAACTTTCTGAGAAATAAAGGGCTAATAAAAAATAGTCGCTTTTAGTTTCACTGCATCCCAACAACACTCCAACACTTGGACAAGATTACCCGTGTTCGTGCGGTAATATTCTAAAGATTCATGCTTGCGAAATCCTTTAGATAATTTTTAAGAATCAGTTATACTAAATGAAAGATATGGAAGATAAAGATAAAGTAAATGGAGGGAGGCAACTCCTGGATGTTCTATTTAATGCTAATTATATTGTCAAACTCTAAACTCAAACCTTAAAAACATCATTTTAGTCAAAGTGCTCAACTCAATACTGAAATATCATATTCTTGTATTATTTGCTTACACTGTCTTATTACATTGTTGTTGCTATTGTTTCTCTATTGCTCCATTTTATTTTATTTTTACGTTCTTGAGCCGAGGGTCTTTCGGAAACAGCCTCTCTACCTTCATAGGTAGGGGCAAGGTCTGCGTACACACTACCCTCCCCAATCCCACTTGTGGGATTCCACTGGGTTGTTGTTGTTGTCTAAGAAAACGAGCATATTTGAATATAGTCACAGTGATGAAAAGCATGCCTACATGAGATGAAGATGAAATCCTTCCTTCAGGTGAGTGTACTTTATAAGTGCCTGCTTAGATTCATCATAAGTCGCCAACTGAGATGCAGTCAAAGTGGCAGCTCTGGCCATAGCAGGCCCAACCCCCTTCCAGAGAGCTCTTACTCCCTCTTCTGAAGCGATTCTCCTCATTTCATGGATTGGTCCTAAGCTCGATCTTGTGTTCATTTGCAGCCGTACCTGGAAACAAGCATAATAAATGAGGACCGTTCAGCGGAACCAATAAGGCCTTCAGAAGAGAATACCTTCAAGACTTCGACAGGATTGGTCAGTGCAGTGGCTATGGCCCCTGAGAATGCTCCAGATGCAATCTTCACCAAGATATTGGTGGACCCAAAAGCCAATTCACAGAGATATTTAGATGGTTCATATAAGCCTAAACGGAGGCCACCATAAAGAACTGACCTTGTCAGTGCAGGTGCCAATCCCAGATACAAGGACCTCAGCCCTTCACTTTCAACTACTTGAAGAGAAAGCCTTCCCTATAACCAATCAAATGGGACATAATCACTTAAGCAGCAGCTACTGACCCTCATATATGGTTCTAAGCAACAAAAAGGGATAAAAAACCAGAAAGTATAAGCTTCATCTCATACCATTCCGACCAAAGGACCTCTCTGACCAACAAGTTGCATCTGCAGTCTAACTTTTATAACATCTGCACATAATAAGCAAGATCATGCAACTTTATTTAGAAAAAGACCACCTTTCACTACAAGACAACTAAAGTAAGGTTGAGGGAGAGGAATTAGATTATGCATCCATTCCTTCCATATCATTGGGCAGTTTTTGATTTTCCAGTTAAAATTATATAAAGGCTCAAGTACATGGAAGAGTAACAAGATAGCGTGAGAGTTGAGACATTCATGTACTTAATTTTCCAAAGTTGAATGCTTGATCTCATTTCATGCTCTTGAGTAGTATAATCAATAGTGATTATATATGAACTCAGAAGTTTTAGATAGTTATATGAGAAAATAAACAGTGTTTGGAACTATTTTGTTCTTTTTAAAAGGAAAGGTAATTTAGCATGACTGACAACACACTCCAGTAAAACGTAGGACGAGCAACTAAAATATCCCCAAATCTTTTATGAAATTTTGCAACTCAAAAGTCACATCATCGAACGGATTAGTATTTGTTCCTATGAAACACAAGAGTGAGATGATCCAGTCTTGTCTGATTGTAATGAAGGATCTTCTACCCTGACCTTTAACTAAATTGTCCAAGCAAAAACAAAGTGATAGCTAATTCTTAGTCTCATTTTTTCACCATCATAGAAGAATACTAAGCAACATTTTCAGCTAAAGTTTGCTCCTTTAAGCCAGCCCTTTACATCTTAAGCTCAAAGCAACAAAACTGACTTTCAAATTCAATAGAGTGGTAACTGGTATGTGCTAGAATCAATAAATAAGCATTAAAACAGATACTACTAATTAAGTGAAGAAAAAACCTAAAGGATGAGTGATGCCAGTAGCAGCAGCAACAGACATTCCACTGGTACCAAAATGTGACACAACATCAGAGGCTGAAACTCCCCATTTTCGTCTCTCCATTGATCCTGTAAAAGATTAGGAAAAAAAATCAAAATACATTAAGAGAAAAGAATTACTAACTTTTTCCCCGTACTGGATTCTGAAAAAAAATAATCAAAATTTGATGGATAAAGCAACATATTGAATTGGTATATAGAAGAAATGGGGGTTCAATCAAGAACCTGAAGAGAGAGTTTTTCCGGTTGCCGGCGTTGAGTCGCCGGCCATTCTATAATTTTTTTTTCTGAAATGGGTCTGCTGCGTTTCTGCTTTTTTTTCTTCTTCTTCTACATGATTGAATTGAAACGTGAAAGAGCGCTTATTTCAGATTATAACTGAATCTGTTAATGGTGCGCTTTCCAAGAAAGCTCTATTCCTGGTTGGTTGGTATCCTTTGGCCTCCCTCATGCCTATTTAGACCTTATTTTTCCATTATTTAATTCTCTCCATAAATCTGGGTCAAAAAGAGAAAAACAAAAGATTCTCTCAAAAATAAATAGCCCCTGCATTTTCAATTTTCAGCCTGATAATATAAAATCTAGTTAGTATAAAATAGAGGTTCATGCAATAGTCAACATTATAAAGGTTATTAATCACGTGGTCAAATATTTTGTCCCTGCTGTTAACAAAGAAAGACTGACTTGTTGATGTAAATGCTGGGCCGTCAAATAATCAAATTTAATTTAAAGTAAGTTGAATCACAATATGATGGCAATGCACTTCTATATTTTTTTCAGCATGACTAATAGGGGTTTTACTGAGAAATGCTTGATGTGTTGAAATAGATCATGGATAAATTTAGGGGTCTTTTGGTTCAAATACAAGTTCTGAAAGGATTAATTATGTAGAGATTGTATAATCAAAGATCAATAATGTAGGAAATGTAATATAGAGCGGGGATTAGTAATGCACGGATAATTTGTTGTTGGATGTTTGATTTGTTGTACTAAGAAATTAGTTTTGAAGATCACGAGGATGTTTATGTTTAGTTGGTTTAATCCATGTATTGCTAATATAGTATTCTTATTCCACATTATATCCCGTATAAAATAGTACATAGATACCTAGATAACTTATGCACATATTATTTTATGATGAAAATCAAAATAGTCACCAAATGATGTATAAAACAATGCTGAATTTTACACAATGATCATTCCTCCTAGAAGTCAACCAGACAACGACCGTTCTAGCTCAGTTGCATACCCTGAAGCTTAAAAGCAAGTTACAGGTCAAATAACATCATGCCAGAGGCCAATGCCACTATTGCACTGTGAATCTCAAGCATACACGCTATGCTACATCATCCTTAACATAATGATCCTACATATGAATAAACATCAGATCAGATTGCATGAAGCAAATCAACAGCACCATGTTACTCCTTCATAACACAAACAACAAATTCAAGGCAAATCCCAAAAGGGAAGGTGTCAGCATTATGGTTCTCTACTTGTACAGGAAAAAATACAATCATGTCATCTTTTTTAACCCAGAACCCCTCAGAGAAGTCATGTAGCAGAGACCTTGTCTTTGCTATCAGCAAATCTGAGAAATGAACTTCCTTGTTGATGAACTTGACCTGTAGCTCATCAGTTTCATAAACATAACTTTAACTAAGACATGGAAGATTTGAGGATGCAGATTGCAGCAGTTTAGTGACGAGGTGCAGATGGTCCCCCAGAATAGCGAGATGAGACTGAAGTTGAGGAGTATCTAGGCTCATCCCTAAGATGGTGATATTTTAGGCCGTAGTCTGGTGGAAGTTGAGGAGCATACGGTGGATATGCTCTTTCATTTTCAGTATGAAATCTTCCAGTATCGCCTCTGATGTCAATTGCAGAATAGGGATCCCTTGCAAAAGAGTCTCTGCCTGCCGAAGAGTATGACTCTACAGGTGTTACCACCGTCCTTGGCAGAAAGAGATATCGGTTCACAAGAGAGGCAGTACTCTCGTCATAAGGATTATATGTATCCTTAACATGATTTGGTAAACCATGATTAGTAGGTATAGCTGAAATTACTGTAGTACTACTTTCTACAGCAGGATCAACAGTAACAGGTATTTCACCGCGAGCCCTGAGGCCATAAGTTCGGTACTCCCTTTCGCTTGGAAATAAAGGTTCAGAGTATACAGTTTCTTTCCGTGCTAAAGTTGCATCGCTACTAACACTGGCAGGATTCCTTCGGAGCTGCTCCCTTCCTTGTTCAGAATCATAATGATCCAATTTGCGGTCAACTACTGCAGAAGCAGTAGGCTGCAGATGCTTTGCTGATTGAAGACCATAGCTTCTATATTCTTTCTCAGTGAGGAAACGGGGTTGACTCTCAACCTCTCTAGGCATGACATGGTGGCCTGCAAGCTGCTGCCTTTCATGACTATATGATGAAAAATTCTCACCTGCTTTGCTTCTACTGTATTGCATTCCATATACATGCTCCCTAGAGGGTTCCTCCCTAGGCAAAGGTGCTGCCGATGGTGGCCAAATAACTTGCTCAGACACAGAATGTTTGGAAGTTGGATGTAACCATGGTGCAGGCCTAAACAGTTTTATCAACTGCTCTACCTGCTCAAAGGTGAACACGGGCCACAAAATTGACATCAAATTTTAGGTAGATAACACTCTTTCTCCAAGTACAACTTGTCAGTGAGGGAGGTGTGTTGTTACCTGCTTAGATGTCAACTCAGTCTTGAACTTGTGCGTCCTTTCATCATAATTGTCTTTAATTGCTCTCTTGAACAAATTCTCCGGCAGTGGAAGGCAGTCCCTGTCAATCCTGAAGCGAACCTGTTGGATGACCAATCATCAGTAAATACACCTTAAAGATAAGAATTTGCAATTAAAAAAAAAAGCACAGTTGACCTGGGCTGGAAAATCACCACCAAATGCTGCCGGTTCAAGTTTCATTCCACCAGAAGATGACGCCTCAAAAATACCATACATGAGCTTAAGATCAAAATCAAAGAGAAAAAGCTTGAAGCCGGGTTTGATTCCCATAATAATGTCTTTCTTCATAGCTGAGACACCCATCACATGATATCTAAAACAATCGTCTTTGGTCTTTGCATTGCACATGAAAATCACTCCACCGATACTCTTTTCAGTTTTTCCATCCTTCACATCTACACTCATTTCACTTGTACTTCTCTTTTCTTTGCTTCTACTGCTTATGTATTGGGGCTTTCTAGCATCTTTTTTATCAAAATTATTTCCTTGGTTCCCATCTTTTGCCGCCTTCTCCTTGTTTCTGGATTGAGATTGTGGAGCGCCCTCAGCTTCTTTCATTTGTGCAGAGTTTAAGTTAGAGGACTTCTTTGCAAGTTTACCTTTAGCCTTTAGTTCCTTGGGGGTTTTATTGTCTCGAGGTACATTTCCAGAACTAGATGTGGCAGCATTATTTCTCTTTTTCTTGTTTTTCTTGGAAGCCATACTCGTCCCTGCTAGTTATTTCCCTAAGAAAAACTATAAGCATGAAAGACAAATTCCTGAAAAGAGGTTTCATAAAACCAGGTATTTCTGCTAGCTACAAGCTAAAGACTGTTGGAACAGAGTGACAGACATAGTTTGTCATAAAATTTCTACAATAAAAGAATAGGTCTATTATGAAAGACATGCAGACCTACAAGGACCTGATTGCTTCTGAATTTACTGACATAGATGATTCATTTACATTCCACAATCATCACTTCATTAGAATCTATCTGCAACTCTATTTTTCATGATAAATAAAAGGATCCTCATATCATTCTACATAATGTAATTCTTTAAGTTGACAGTTGCAGGATCATGGTCTCTCTTTCTCTCTCTTGTGGTATAAGAGTGGTGTACTGGTGTTTGGCCAACTTACGTGTACCTCAACAGTTCTACTAGCCGCATCATCAAATACTACAGGTGAGCCTTAACTCTGTCCATTAAAGATTAGGGAGATGGGATAAAATCAATTGTCGATTAACTTTTTTTGCCTCTAATCGATATGAACCCTAGTCTCCCGTGGTTTTCATTACAACTTCATCAACTACTATGCCACACCCTCGGGTGCAAGACCGTGTTGTCTCTGAACTACCTCCAATGAAAATCACCAAGTTTACAAAACAAAACTACCCTACTCCTTCAAAAGGATGAGGAAATAGCCAGTTCTCAACATGCTACCTCATGATACTTTTGTTTATTTCTCTTTTTCCATTCTCCTGACAAGCAGTTCTCATTAAAATGTATATGTGTTTATGAATAAATAAATATTTTCTTCAATAAAGAAAAGGAGCAACTATGCATGTAAGCAGTTAACGGATTGACTAAACTGCTCATTTCTGCGGTCACTCTCCTAAAGCGACAAGTAACATCTTGTTGGAGGACAAGAATTCGACTTTTATAAAACAGTTTTATGGCAATCCTAGATAATTAGTATCATCTTATAATGCACCTACTTTGTGATGACTATTCCATTCATTTCATTTTATATGACTGTGTTTGACTGGGCACAGAGCTTTAAGAAAAAAAGGAAGACTTTTTGCACATACCAAAAGTATTCTTAAAACTTGTGTCTTAAGCATTCCATGACATTGAGGATAAAATAGGGAGTTTAAAGTTAAAGGTTCTTCAAATATAGAAGGTATCTTTTTAGAAACAGACCAAAAAAGGAAAGAGTGTTATACAAAACGGAATGAGGGAGTAGAAATTATTAGTTATTGCAGAAGTGCAGATTTATCTGATATATCCTAACATTGTTGAAGTCTTTTACGTTAGCAAAAACTTATTAACGTTCGTCAACACTTCATAAAAAAAGAATTTTTTTTTTTGGTGAAGACTCGGACGGAGTTCTAATTCTGTCACATCACGACATAAATATTTCTCCAGTAACCTGATGTGACATTGTGACCAGTCGAGAAGAATCTTTTATTTCATACACACCCAAACTGTTCCATTTCTTTATGTTGCAGTTCCACTTCTACTGAAACATTTCCAACTAACAGGTAAAAAAACTCAAGTCATTATGGGTCAAGTACTAAGAAATTATTATCTAAATAAATGCTTTAGATGATTGGGGTTTTTTTGAGGACAATGACAGAGTGTCTGATAATGAGCAAGGAATATCTTGTCTTTCTGCTAAAACAGGATGAATTGAACACATAAATTTTACCTTATCAAAACAAGGATGAATTGAACATATAATTAATTAGATGTTTTTTATGAATGTCAGCTAAGCATCGCAAGTAAATTGCTAACAGTTGTTCAATTTTTGTATAAATGTCTCTACTTTTTGTATCGTTCTCGTATTGGTGTATGAATCAATAGAAAAAAGTGGCCTAGTTTCTTTCACCTTTTTTAGGAGAGAAGCTCAGAAAACTAGTTTAAGCATAACTAAATGCAGACCATGAGAACTTTGAACCACATAAAATGCAAATTAACTAGTAAGATTCACAAACTATGACAAATCGGAAAAGGAAGCCTCGTTATGCAAAAAGGAGCAGCTACACAAGAAATTACAACAAAATATATAACATAATTTGGATAAAACCGTCTAGAATCATCAGAAAGAAGAATTATGGTTGATGTGCCGGTCAATTTTAACGGAGAAAGAGGGATACTTACCAGTAAAGTTCACCGGCGAAAGAGTGAGGGTCGCACAATCGACTTGGCAGAGACCAAATTGATGTTAGCCTTTTAGGAGGTGGGTTATTGGGCCGAAATCAGTCCGAATTAGGATCCAAATTTGATGGCCTTCTGTTTATTGGGCTTCTGAATTTGGAATCTAGGATGGACCAGTCAAATCCTTTCCTTGCCACTCTAATTTTCTTTAAAAAAATAAATTGTTATTTAATTTGATTGATTATTTCGTAAAAATAAAATAGTTTTTCTGATGGAAAAATTAATTTATTACTTAAGAAATTAGTGGGTCCATACTTACTCTTATTTTTAAGAAATACTTTTGATAATTTAATGGGATATTATTTCGTATATTAATCAAAAATAATATATATATATATATATATATATA